ATACGGCGACGGCTGCCGAAGATCGTCAATACAACGAAGCGTTGGCTGTGGCCGTTGGCTGCGTTAATACAACGAAGCGTTCGCGACTCGTTTTGAACGGAGGGAACAGGCAGTGCGATGCCGTTACCACAGGTCGGATGAAGTTCCACGGCAACGACACCAAAAACGCGAGTTGACAGTACTGACGTCTCCGTCTGCGCCACCCTGAAGGATAAGTGATCATCGAAACTGATCGACATGTCCCCCTCTTATGAAAGGTAGAACGCGAAACCAAAATGGAATATTTTGAAAACAACGTGGGAAACCGTGAGTGACAGATGTGGTACACTGACGACTTCGGTCCGTCTGTTTAAAACAAGTTTGTGATAGCACCCAAGGTGTTTTTGTCACGATAGAAGAAGAGTGTTTGTTGCACATTCGGTTTTTATGTGCCAAAATATGAAACAGCTCTTTATCAGAAGAATGAATCTTAATTAGCATCTACCGAATAAGGATTTCGATGAATGTCCCTCTGAGTTAGCACGTTTGGCAATACCGAAGCTGTCTAGCTGCCCAGGACAGACTGCAGATGAACGGTCGTCGATTCAGGCTTAGTTGTGATCTTACTAACTGCTATCTACCCGCAGAGACGTTGCAGGACAAGGTAAAACACGAAGATACGTTGTTGAGGCAAACCTCCTCGCAAGAGATTCACCGCGGCAGTAAAGACTGCTTAACATCGTTCTGAACTTATCATTTCATAATGCCAGATATAATCAATCTGTGTTATTCTGTTGCTTAGGCCCTTTAAATTCAGATGACGATAACGAAAGGCAGTTTGATGATCCGACGCTCAACCTCCTGTAGGTCATACCGATGTAAATCTTAACGCAATTGACTTAATATATGACGTTCGTACCTCTTTGTACTTCTTCGGTTAAGGTATTTAAACGGTTGTGCCGGTCTTATAGCAGAACACGAACCTCGTGGTTTAAGGCATTTCATAATGGCTCAGATCCCAGGACTATACATGCAGACTGATGGTCAGTCCAGGTCAGAAATAACCGGGAGAGGTGCCTTGACGGAGTCTGTGTGCAAAACCCAATTTGTCCTTTGCCGAGGTTCAGACATGGGCGCAAGATCAGGAATATATGTGACACTTTGACGGTGCTGCCGAAGGGATAAGCAGTCCTCGAAACTGCCTGACCAACTGAACTGACCGATGTTTGGTGTGCATATGAACTCGCATTTGGTACCCAACTCTAGGTCTCTCGTGAGTTAGTTTTAAGCGTGATGATTAATCC